GCTTAAAGCCCGCAGGGCAATATAGGGTTTTGCAGAAGCAGCAAGAGATTGATCTGGCTTGCAGAAGGAGCATTTGGAGGGCGACGGGTGGGTAGAGTCTAGATTAGAACCTGCCATGTTCTACCGCAGAGATGACAGTGGTCGCTTGAACGGTGTACTCGTGACACATGTTGATGATTTAGAAGGTGGAGTACAACCAGGCCTTGAACAAGAGCTGTTCCGCAACAGTTCCAAATCATTGGGTTTTGCAACCAACCCTCGCTTGAGCAAAACACTCCGGAAGATTTTGACGATTCAGGAAGTGTTTCTGGGGTCACTGTGACAATGAAGAGATATGCGTTGGGCACGGCAAAGATACATGTACCAAAGGAGCGCAGCAGTCAACCTGACTCTCCTTTGACGCCAGCTGAATTGGAAACTCTCAATTCCAGCGCAGGAGAACTTGGTTGGATCGCCAGACAGTTGCGCAGTCAATTTGGCATTTAAAAATGGAGAGCGGGTGGTCTGGGGCCTGGGTTTTGGTTTCCCAAAAAATTTTAGGTAAACGCTTCAGTGGCAGCCCCTCTCCATATAAACACACATATCTATTCTTGCTCTCACTCTATATGAACAAATATATTATGTATTCCTCAGTCAGGGTAATTGGGTTGTTTCGGAAGCAGCAATCAGTCATTCAGATGGTTTTGAACAAGATAATTAGAAAAGAAGCAGGCCATAAAAGTGGTTGTTTTAACAATTGTCCTCTAGATCTCTGCTTATAATTATGTTTAGATTTGGAAAGATTGTGTATAGACGCTTTTATGTTATAAAAGATTCTCTATAGATCTCTGCAGATAATCATGTTTAGATCTAAACAACTATTTAGAAACCTTGTATGTTAAAAGCTTTCTTCTAGATTTCTGCGGGCAAGAGCTTGCATTTTCAAAGCTTTCCTCAGGATCTCTGGGAAAGTAGATATCCCAGATAGATATATATATATGTGTATGTTCGTGAAAGGAAAGCTCTTGAAAGAAAGACGTATTTATTGATATATAGCATGTTAAAATTGACATGACCATTTCCAGAGATCCAGAGGAAAGCTTTTGAAAAGAGAGCTTATATATAGTTTTATTGTACAAATGATCACCCCCAGAGATCTAGAGGGAAGCTCTTGAATTAGAAGCTTGTACGTAAAACATGTTCAATATGTCTATATTATCTCCCGTGGCTACTGTCAACAAAAAATCTAACTATTTATTCCAAAAAAGAGTTTTAGTCTTGTTCGCAGCGCTTCCAGGGCAAGAAATACTGTAAAACACGGGGGTTTGTAGCATGTGTTTTCTTAAACTAAATAGACTAGAGCTAGAATAGGATTAGGTAGAGTTAAATTGGATTTGAGTTAGAGCTAAGATAGAACTGAATTAAAGCCGAATTTTAACTAAACTTGTATTGAACTATAACTATAGCCTAATTGAAATTAGATGAGAGTTGAATTAGAAAGGAGTTGGATTAAAATTACAAGTTCGCCAGAATAAGATGTAAAATGCTTGAGCTACAAGCACAGAATTACGCTTGCAAAGATTTCCAACCGTTTCATGTAAAGGACAGAGTGTCCTCGCAACGGCGTGTCAAGCTGTTTGGAAATGGAAGTGGCAACCGCATTGATACCAGTCAGCAGTTAATGCACTCAGACTTGTATGTGGAGATTTGGACAAGGACAAAGGAAGTGTTGAGCTGAGACGGTTTCAGATGTAAGCAAAAAGAACAGATGCCTTGAGATGAGAAGTAAGCTCAGATGCTAAAACACAAAAACCTTGGGAAAACCAAAAACAAAAAACAATTCTCAGAGACTATTGGCTGGACCCTCCAAAATCAGAAAAAACCAAAAAAACGTTGATGCATTTACCTCCTATTTATGGAAATTTATGGAAAACAAAAAACCCAGGCCCCATGGCCACCCCTTCTGTAAAAATGGCTGTGTGCAACGCTGTAAGAAATCCGCAACCGGCAAAGATCTGATTCGCTTGAGACATGCAGTTGAAGCAGCTCGACGTGGAGCCAGCGTGAAGACGCGATATTGGACAGACGTTGATTTGGAGCACGGTGTTGTTGTACATCTTGCAGATTGAGGTCATGCAATTGGCACACCGGAGGGGAACGACATCCTTCGATACCGCAGTGTTGGAGGCCACTACATTTTGATAGCAAACCCCGGTATCTTGCAAGGCGAGGCCGTTCGTGCAAACATTGTTTGTTACCATAGTAGTCAGACAAAGCGTGTTTGCAGAAGCGCTTTGGCAGTTGAAGCAAGCCATTTGTCGGAACCCGTTGAAGCTGGAGATTGGGTGACAGTTTTGTTGCGCGAACATTCCATTTTAGATTTGAAGAACTGGCCTACCACCATTGAACAACGTGACAGAGTTCGTGTCACAGACGCCAGAGGTGTCTTTGATTTTTTGAGCAAACATGCAGCGAGCGCTAAGTTCTGACAAGCGCATGGCAATCGAAGGTGCTTTACTTCGCGAGACAGTTCGCAAACTGAGAGCTTTCACGAGGTGGATTGATGGACAGCAAAAATTTTCGAATATTTTGACCAAAGCTGGAGCAGGCAAGTTTATACATTTTTTGAGTTTTTGAGAACAGGGCTTTTCTCTTTGGTGCAAACAGCCGCAAATCAGAGATTGAAAGAGCGTCAACGAGCAAAGAGAGCTGAAAGACGAATGTTGGTCAACAAAAGCAATGAGCGCGAGAGAAGAACAGGTTCCAGACGATGCAGATTGACATTGACCAACCCGTGCTGTCAGGACGATTCGCTAAGGTACTCCGCGGCTTATGCGCGAAGGCGTGACAAGCAAGTCAGTGGCCCTTTCGTCGATCCTAGCTTCGTGTGCGCCATAGCCGTGTGTCTGGGCTAGAACCATAAAGGCCCGACTTTGCACAAGGACAGTGGCAAGACCCAGCCGATCTGCGTAAAAGAGCCGAATGTTTCGAGTGCTTTCATTTTCATCGCTTGCATTTCGACAGTTGGCTGTGATTGCCTCAAACCAGTTGTCAAAATTTTCCAGTTATTTTCAACTTGGATCCAAACTTATGACTCTAATGACCATTCATAGCAGCCATGACCGCTCGTAGATGAGGACAAAGACAGGGGCTGTTTCAATCATGAACTGAAGAGTCCTCAGAATTCTTGACATCAAAAACAAGGATATACAGCTCCATATCGCAAGTTTTTATTTAGAGTAAAAAACGAAATCAGAAAGCGGATAGCGAAGGACGAACAGCGGATGAGGAGAGGCGGATTGCACGGTGTGATGCCTATGTTTTTGTGTGTGTGTGTGTGTATAAATATAGACATATTATACGTCCGGAAAGGAAGGTTAGACAATTGACATAAAACTAAAGTTTGTGGCAAGGATTGGTTCATTTGATAATTGAGTTTATGATAGTTTATGTGAGTTGAGAGGTGGTGGGATTGGAGGATGCGCGATGACGTGTGTGTCGTGCGTGCGACGTTTGTGCTTTGCAGTAAATGCTAATGACGAAGATAGTGAGGAGGAAGGTAAATCGGAACGAAGATGAAGAAGATGACATGACGCTTTCAACGATCGGTTTATTCATCTTCATACATGAAAATCTGACAAAGCAATGTGCCCACAAATTGTTTATTGACATTCCGAGGTTTTTGGACAGGAGTTGATGTGCACCAACAGATGCAATTTCGGAAAGCACATGCGGAATTTGACATCGCGTTTTTGGGGCGTGCAAAGGTCGGTTCATGTGTGAGTTGAGTTGATGTCAGTTGGTTTTGTGAGTTGAGTTGGTGTGTGAGTGAACATGGGTGAGGGGAGATTGAGGATGAGGAGGCGCAGCATGGGAAGTATATAAATGGCACAGCAAAATACACAGTGACGCATGTGTACCAAAAGGGACACTCACAAGAGCTGCAGTTTAGGTTTAGGCATAGGTTTTCTTTTGTGATAGCCTTCGGGAACTACAAAGAGTTCACCGTCAGGAACCTTGAGGGATCCAGGCTGACAAAAAAGCGGGCTGCAAGTGGAGTCCTGAACGAAGGGTCGGCCGATCGCCACCATCCAACAGAGGCTGAGCTCCAGGCAAATCGGAACCTCAACGATGCCGGGGCTTGGGCAGGTGGATGGGGCCTTTGCCTGCGCACCCAGCCCGGGTGAGAAAGATACACGCATATAGGTTCTGTTGTTGCGCATTTTTTACTTCTCGCATCGTTGCACTCTTGTGGGACACTCTTGTGGGAAACCGCCAGTTATCCCGCTCACCAGCAACACGCCTCGTTTACGTACGCATGCTCTTCATTTCCACGAGCTGCTGCCGCGGTCTGTGGCCCCCCTCCAGACTCAGCTTTCGCCACTTCGACTACATTCAATGCCGGCCTCTTGCACCGTCAGGTGCGCAATAGGGTTGTCCCAAGTGACCCGTGTTTTTTTGATCTCAACACATTTTTCATAGTTTCTGAGCTTTCTGTTGGGCTTCCGCAACGTGACAATGCCTGGAGCGCAGCAGTGGAGCTTGGTTTTCCGGTGCCTCGCCCACCCTTTGGTATGAGGCACCTGGACTCCTGTCGCTCAAGATAATGTGTTATCTTGTCAAAGACTCATTTTGTCAACGTATGCGCTCCTGCCACGGATTGCTTGACGTGGCGACGTTCATGCGCCCATAGGGGAGATTGCAGGCATAGCAGAAAGCAGTGCAGAAGGAGGAGACACCAACCTCAACCCCGGCGACACCCAGCAGAGCAAAACCTCTGCAGAATGGAGTGGCTGGAGATCCCAGCAGCAGCAGACCTCATAAAACACAGAATAGCAGAGAACGCGAGTTGTCTTCGTGCAAGTTGAGTAGGTGTGAGTTGAATTGGCGGGAGTTGAGGGGTGCGTTTTTAAGTTGGTGAGAGAGCCGCGGGAGGGGCCGAAACACGGTGGTAGCAGGGTAAAATTTATGGAGGCTAGCAAAATCAACAAAGGGAACAGACCATTTGCTGCGCCGTGTAGGTGAAGGCCATGGAGCAGCAGGAATTTCCGCAGCAACTTGACATGGAATTTGGAGCGCCCCAGAATCATTTTTAACGAGGTTTGAAGTGCAGCCTGCAGCGGCTGAGAACCATTTTGGAATGATCTGTTTGTTGTTGAGGCGCAGAGGTTGGCCCCACTGAGTTGATGTGTCAACTTTAATTTCTGCAGATAGATTACGCCAGCAACCCCCTCATGTTTGGCAGGGGAAGTGCGTGCGTAGGTACTATCCTCAAGCTGGGTGGACGGAACATGATCCGAACGAGATTTTGCAAAGTGCCTTAAATTGCTCTGAACTGGCGATGAAAAAAGCGGGTGCCAAGAAGGATGACATTGCTGGAATTGGTTCCTAGGCCGCAGAGAGAAGGATTGAACTTTTCTCAGTAGTAGAGTGCACAAGATCCATTGGAAGGAATGTGCCGTGTTGACTTTCTTGATTGGACTACAACTTCAAACAAAATATGCAGTATATCGTTTGTAGCCTGTTGGATTTTGTCGAGGCATCACCAATCAACGCGAAACCACTGTGGCTTGGGACAAGGTGCCTCCGACGCGTCTTCAGAGCCGAATGGCAATCGGCAACATTTCCAATTGCCAATAGCAGAATCGTGCATCCTTTTCTCGCCTTTGTATTCCTTTTTTGAAGCGCGGATGCCTTTAAAAAGGGCCGACATGAATCACAAAAAGTTTAGACTTGTATTTTCTTTGCGTTCCTCGTTTGCGCGTTGGTGCACGAGGTGAGTGGCGAGCCACTATGCCGTGCGATTGTTTGGCTAGACCTGCGAACTGCCGAGACGGCTGCCAAGCTGTCTTCTTCCGGTGGAAAAGACCGTTTTAGTGTCCTGACTGTTTTAGAAGTCCAAGAATGGACTTTCTGTTGCAGACTGGAAAGTTCCAAGGACCGAAGACAGGCCTTCCGATTTCGACCTACTTCTCTGCAGTGAAGATGCCTGGCGGCAAGATCGCAGCAAGGGCTTCTAGCGACCAAGCCGGTTTTGGTCATGTTGCTTGGCTGCCATGAGCCACGCCGCCCCTGGACAAGCTTTCTGCCCAGGATGAGATGGATGCTGGACCATGTTGCCGAGGTGAAGATCCTTGGAAGCCAGATTACAGTTTCGAAATTGTCAACGCAAGGATAGGCTTTTGATGGCTTTTGCCCTAGATTGTCTTGGCAAGGTTGAAGCTTGTTTTAGATCGTTTTAGTATGTTTATGTCGTGCCTCAAAGTGCACAAGATCTCTGGTGCTTGTGAGAAGTTTCTGCCCTCAGGAAAGCTGCTGACGAAGAGCGATGTTGCTTTGGAACAATAGCAACTTTGCTGAATTTTGTGATGTGCACGCAATGTTGTAGGACAGAACCTGGGCAATGATATTTTTTGAACCTTGCTTTTAGGAGAGCTGGCTCATCTACAAGCTGAGTGGGGGCACTGCTGGCGGGGTCCATGTCACGGATGTTTCCAATGCCTCGAGGTCGGCGTCTTAGAATTCAAGACAAGCGCTTCATGCGCAATGTTGTCCAGAACAATGTTTTAGATTATATAGATTTTAAATAGAAACTAATTGTCTCGCTCATCGGTGTTTCAACATGAATCGGTGTTCCAAGCTTTGGCTGGGCCAAGGATGTTTAGTGTTCCTCAGCTCTTACTGAGTCCAGGGCATATCAAGTCTATTTTCTAGATTTTAATACTGTAACTAAATTTTGAGCTAGCCAATTCGGTTTCTAAAACGCGACCTCAGGTTTTGACTGGGGAAGGCGGAGTGTTAGGTGGATCGTTTTGCCAGAAGACACATGTGTTAAAAGATGTGAGATGTTAACGATGTGAAGTTGAGGATGTAAGATGTGAGAAGACCTAATATCAGTTCTCATGACTCAGAGTCCGGAAAATAGAGGTTGAAGCCATTGCTACAGTAGGGATCTGAAGGGGCAGGAAAGTCAAAGACCAACCAAGATCGAAGCATGCCGCCGGTGCCAGTTGCAAGCGTTTTAAACACAGATGAATGCAGAATTTGTTTTTGTTTTTATGTGTTCAGTTCACACATGTTCAAACATCCAAGCCATATATTCACCTTCTTGACCAGTGAGTGAGACACAGCTGACTTGAACTGCTTCCCCTGAACCTTTAAGGTACATGCTCATGAACATCAGCACCTGCAAGTGGGATGAAACAGTGTCTCCGACCAATTTGTCCTCACACATGCCGATGCTCACCAACTACAATCACAGTATGATTACTGTCATGTATATATATATATATAGTTGACAACATATTGATATCTGACATTTTCACCTACACATATAATGGCAAACGGAAGACTCAATGACCTTGACAACATTTTTTTTTTGCCAGCTGAGGTGTGTCGACAAATTGGCATTTCCACCAGTTGCCTGCCCAGCATCAAGTCTAACTCAGAGATCTATGCCCACGTAAAAAATGTGCAAAGCTTAAAAACCTGCGCTTGGAACGGCAGGACCTTTTCATTGAACACATATCAACACATTCAGGTTTTTCCTTGCGATTATTGTGCGACAGCTCTGTAGCAGGTGAGTTACCTTGAGGGTCTGCCCATTAGCGGGGCTCTGGGTGATCAGCATGCAGCCCTGCTTGGCCATGCGTGTTTGGATGTGGGCACGTCCAAAAACACCTACGGCACGGGACACTTGGCAGCAACACTTATGCTGGTGATGTTGCTGTGAACTTTTTGGTCCAGTATTTGATGTTGAGATGGTGTCGGGAAAACGTCAGGATGCTTCATGCTTCTGAACACGGGTTTTGATCCTGTGCCCTCCAAGCAGGGTCTGCTTACAACTGTGGGCTACAAGCTGAGCCCTGAGGACAGCAGGTTGCACGTGTTTGGGGAGAACCGAGCCATGAAACATTGAACTTTCGAGGACAAAACTACGTATGCACTCGAAGGCAGCGTGGCGTGTGCTGGGCGAGTGGTACAATGGCTCCGGGACAATTTGGGCATCATTGCTTCCTCCAAGGCCCGTATGCAAAGGGAGCTCGGATGAAAGGCAAGACGATATTGAATACAAGTCCTACATGGCAAAATTCAATAAAATTCATATATAACAAATTCTACAACATATATATGTTGCAAAATTCAGTGTTGCAAATAAATTATCGATAAACTGGAACTGAGTACTTAGAACTCTCGAGGGTGAACCGGACATTGCTCAGTGCGGTCGCAGGAAGTGGAAATCCTCGCCAACAAGGTGGAGGACTGCCTAAAGACTCGTTGCAGGGAAAGCAGATTGAGAGAATCTTTGGCATTAGGTCCAGATTGATATTGTTTTTTGCTGGGCAGATTGGTGTCTCATCATTACAATGAAATAAAGTAAAAAGTCGCTTTCAACATATTTGTTTTTTCACATTGATGTGTGGGGTTTTTGATTTTAGTGCTGTATCCGCTCCTTCTTCTCCTCCTCCTGCTCCTCCTCCTCTCCTCCTCCCGCCGCCCGTCCACCAACCACCAATCGCCAACCAACCACCAACCGCCAACCAACAAACCACCAACCACCAACCACCAACCACCACCAACCACCACTAACCACCAACCACCAACCACCAACCACCAACCACCAACCACCAGCCAGCCCCAGCCCCAGAACCACCAACCAGCCAGCCCCAGCCCCAGCCCCAGCCCCAGCCCCAGCCCCAGCCCCAGCCCCAACCAACCACCAACCACCAACCACCAACCAACCACCAACAACAACCAACCACCACCAACCACCAACCGCCAACCACCAACCAACCACTAACCAACCACCAACCAACCACCAACCACGCACCAACCACCAACCAACAACCACTCTGCCGGTGTGATTTGCGTGGCAGGCGCAGCGCTTGGTGCTCTCCAGGGGTGTACGCCCTGGCGCTTTGCCTGTGTGATTTGCGTGGCAGGCACGGTACTTGGTGCTCTCCAACAGGTCGGATGTGCGCCCTGGCGCCACCAACCACCACCACCCTCCAACCACCAACTGCCCACCAACCACCAACTACCACCCACCACCAACCAACCACCGCCAACCACCAACCACCAACCACCACCAAGCACCCACCAACCACCACCAACCAACCCCCAACCACCAACCAACCACCACCAACCACCAACCACCAATTGTCCGCTCCTGTGTCTGGTGAAGTTGTACATGTGGTCATGTGGGGTCATCCGGTCCTATAGTTCACAGGACACTGGAGGTTTGACCTTGATTCCTGCCTTCAGCGGCCTTTTTGCACCGCACTGGCGAGACGATGCAAGGGCAGTGGCTGTAGGAGTGGCAGCGGACGGAAGCGTCCTTGCTCCTAGTTGCAATGCCCTTTGCTCCTAGTGGCGAACATTGCTCTGAGTAGTATGGCAGGAACCCCTAGTAGCGTCCTTGCTCCCAGTAGTACGGCCAGGAACCCCTACTGGTTTCTTGTTACTAGTAGCGATGCCAGGAGGCTCTAGTAGCGTCCTTGCTGCTTGACGTTTTGTTTTGATATGCTGCAGGAATGACCCTCTACACGAGCAAGGAGCACATGTGCCGTGCGGCCTTGGAGTCCACAGCTTTTCAAGCTGTGGATATCATGGAGGCTCGTGGAGCATGACATTTTGATATCATTTCAATCAGCACTCACTTTCGAGGCATTGTGTTGTTTCAACGTGCTCTAGACCCTGCAGGCTATGAAGCAAGACACCGGCCTTCGGCTAGTTGACATGCGTGTGGATGGTGGAATGACGGTAAACAACCTCCTTATGCAGATGCAAGTGCTTGGCCTTGGATTGTTTGTACAGTATTTGTGTTGGTTGGCTGATTGGCATTATGCAAAAAGTGAGCCCACATGGACATGTAATTTGATTCACAACAGAAGCGCTTGGGAATGCAACCGGCGCTCGTCTCAGGCGGATGCACTTGGCATGCCAGTGCTACGCTCCAAAATGGCAGAAGCAACAGCTTTAGGAGCCGCGTTGGCAGCTGGCCTTAGCGTTGGCTTTTATCATAACAAGGAGAGAAATCCGATGACAAAGCATACTGTATAAAGAGAAAGGAAAGAAGAGCGATCAAAACGTTTAGCAGCAAGCCGCCAAGCCAGTTTTTGGGAGCTTGCTGTGCATCTGAGAACCTTTGTTTAACAGGAGTCTGTGCGGGCGATGATTGAGAAGGCAATGCATATCAATGCATCCTTGTTCTTTGAGCATTCTCAGCAAAACTTTTGTGATCTCCCAACTTGAAGCACATTTCTTATCAAGACTTTCTTGTCGTTTGTGGCTTGGTCCCAGGCAGGTGGCTACGAGGTCTTCAACTCCACGACCTCCACAGCTGCACGGCAGAAGATGCAAAGCAGATGGAAGGATGCCTTGAAGCGATCCTTTGAGCTCGCCAAATATGATCCCAACTACAAAGACGAGGCCAAGAAAAACCATTGAAGACTGATGCGTTTTTGTTATTTTTCTTGAAACGCCGAAGTCCGTTGTTTCCGTGTATATATATATATACTTCCTCGAGGAAAAGCCGAAAGCCCTGAAGAAGCCACGCTTCGTCAAGGTGTCCACGATCAAGCCTGAGCAGAACGGCTTAAACCTGCAAGTCAAAGTGATCAAGCCTCTCGGACCAATAAAAATAGAGTCCGGCAGGCTGTGGAAGTGCACTTTTTCACCTATTTTTGAGCTCTACTAAGTTATTTGACATGTCTGCCTTCATTTGCTAGTTTTGGCTTAACACAAGTATTTCCCCAAGTACTGTATACTCATTGAATATTAATATCAATAGTTCTTAAAATAGATATTCCAAGAATTCATAAAAACACCTATTGTTACACATTATAATATATATAAATACTTTATTTAAGTAAAAAATCATTGAATATATACTTAAAGAGTAGTTACAGTAATGTATAAAATATATAATATAGTAGTATATTATGAACAAAAATAATATTCGTTGCTTAAAATTAATAAAGCAGAAATACTCCCAAAGGGTATATAACAAAGATTTAAAGTCAATAGTTATTGACAATCAAAGATTCAGATATAACAAAAACAAAGATATCTCAAAAAGATTGAAAAAGAAATTGGAATCAGTGAAGAAAACTAATGGATATAGAAGTTACGGCCATAAGATAATTTCATTGGGGCATGAAGAAAGCCCTAACCAAATATGCTATCAAAAATAGGCTCAGAGTAGAAAAAAGGTAAATCAGCTTTTAAAAGATATGCCAATAATCTTAAGCTCATAAACAAGCACTTTAAAGGATAACAAGGCCTATCAATGATACAACATCAAAAATCATTACTTGTAAAATTCATTTAAACAAATCATAATATGAAACTCAACATAAGATCGGACGCATTATTTAGTAAGCCTAATGTAAATGATGGTGAAGATTTTGATGGGGATATAGGTGAGTCTGAGATTCTTCATAACTTACCATCCACAAGATTCAACATTCATAATGAAGATGATTTGAATAACGCTTTAGAAGATTAAAAGACATACTAGAACAGATTGAGGCTTCAAGGTCAAATCTAAAATTTTAAACGGTAGTTTCTATTACCATCCATTATGATAGATATAATACTAGGGCAGGCAAATATGTAGAGTTACCTAATTTTGTTAAGTCAAAAAAGGGCTTGTATCAAAAAGATAACTATAACCAATGTTTAAAGTATTATGTATTCAATCAGTAGTTTTTGATAAACTTAATAAACATCACCCAGAAGAAATGTTTCATTATAACAAATTGAAGGATGAGATCATCAATTGGGAAGGTGTCCATTTTTCCAGCAGGTAATAGAGATATTGACAGGCTTGAAGTGAATAATGATGGTGCAGTTTCAATAAATGTTTTCGAAACAGATGCTATTAATGAAAACAAAATAATCAAAACAAGAGCAACCAACGTTTTAAATTGCTAAATATAATATTGACTTATTGATAATGTTTGATGCTAAAGATAGATACCATTAGGCTTTAATAAGAAGTTTGAGTAGGTTAATAAATTGTCAATTGAATAAAGATAGCAATAAAACACATATCTGCAGGTATTGTTCTCATCCCTTTTGCAGAAAAGAGGGCTTGGAAGAACATTATAAAAGGGGTTGTTTAGCAATTGCAGGGCAACAATTCAAACTACCCCCTGAAGGTTCTTTTATTGAATTTGAGAAGTATAATACTAAATTAGAATGTCCTTTTGTTATTTATGGAGATTTTGAATGTCTGACGGTGACTTCTTGTGATGGGATTAAGGGCACATATCAAGAGCATAAACCTTGCGGTTATATGTTGAATGTGGTGAATAGAATTGATAAAACATCCACACCTTATTTGTATAGGGGTGAGGATTGTATGGATAAATCTATAGAACAATTGGGTAATATCAAATCTGATATCATTGAACACATGCATGTTAATACGCCCATGGTTATTAGTGAAGAAGAATAAGTAGAAATTCAGATCATGGATTTTGGTTGAGTTGCGTTCAGGAGGGAATGCGCCACGCAGTCTGTCCATTACTGCACCCCCCGAGTATGCTGTGCACTTTCCCGACATCCTTGGTCACATTGCCAGGCTTTTTGGACTTCAGGAATCCGACCTCCAACTCATTGCAGTGCCGTGCCAGACTGAGAGAAACATGTGTGGGTGGACCTTGCTTTCGGCAGAACGGTCCCAAATGCTTCCCTCGCGGCTTCGCACCTGTTCGAAGCCTCACCACATCGTCGTCTTCTCAGTGATGTTCGCTTCAGAGCCACACAGGCTTGGACTCGGCCTGGCATTCCATCGTCTACCTCTGACCTTGCATTTGATGTTCGAACGTCCTTCCTTCTCAGGGTCCTTGAAGGCAGAATTGCAGTCAACTATTTCGCTGCGGGGGGTCCAGACGATGATGCAACCATGCAACCTGCCACCAAGGTGCACACACCGCCGAGCACGCCAGCTGCACAGCCGGCACCGACAGACCCTTGGCTTAAGAGTGACCCGTGGCAAAAGAAACCAAAGGCCCTGTTCAACACACGGTGGGAGGATCTCGTTCTCCCCCTTGTCCACCCCATTTGTGATGCCAAAGGTGGATCACTGAATCAGACTCATCGACTACAAGCTTCGTCCAGGAAAGCCGGTGTCATCTTAGCCACAAAAGGTGCAATCCAAGATTTGGTTAGACTCACTTTCGATGCACCCACCGCAATCATCATGCCAGCATCCGACAAGCTAGCAGCTTCAGATTTCGGTAAGAAGTTGAGTGGACCACACGAACTCGTGCTCCATGACCCTACGCTCCAGGCTGACTACAACCGTCTCATCATGATGCTGCCGATCTTTGGTGAAATCCACTTCAAGTTGCCGAAACCCAAGATCACCCTCACAGCCACGGAAGTGGTAGAGATCGTAGCCGAAGGTGACGCAAGACTGTTGAGCCCCAGTGAACTGGAAAGTGCCAAGCAAGATCCAATCCTCTTCATCAAGACTAATGTCGGCACCATTCATCCAGACATCATTGGAAGCCTTGCCTTTTATGCCTTGCGCACCGGTAGGCACCCAACTGCTGCCAAAGATGAAATCCAGTATCAATGCATTGTGAAAGCAGCAAGAAAAGATCGCAAAAGCCCCCTGGGCTCGAGTGGCAAGTCGCCTGTCCTTTTGCGTGACTTCCTAGACAGAGCCGAACAGTCCTCCGACATGTCTGTCGTCCCTCGTTTCTGGCCACCATCGGTCCGTGACCTGTGCCAGGTGCGTATTATCATCAAGGATGTGGCAGGCATTGCGGGCCTTGCATTGACACGCCGTGGCCTGGCTGCAAGGGCCTGGGATTCGGACATTGCCTCGGTCCGCCGAGCAGTTTTGCCCACGGATGTGCGCTTGACCCCTGACAACCTTGCTGTTGTTCCCAAAGTGCAATATCAGAGCACAGGCTGGCCAGCCGCAATCGAGCCTGCGAGTGTAGTCAAATGTACTTTGCAAGCAGTCGGCATTGCTCCAGTGCCAAAAAAAGCCTTTCGCACACAAGGAGTGCATGGTTGGATCCTGGGATTCAATTCTCGGCCGTCCACGTTGAGATTCACACTAGAGATCAATTCCTCTACGCATGAAATCTTGCTCGTAGAAGAAGATAAGTCTGTGAAGCCGAGGTCCACTGGTCGCCAGCAGGTCAAGCCTTTCGGCAAGTCCAATGACATCGCACGCCAGTCGACAACTGCCACTGTCCGTACAGAGCCGCCCCAGGCCCAGCGAGGGTCTGTCTCTGGAGGGCTATCGGTCGATGCTCAACGCCTGCAGATCTTGGAAGACAGATTTGACAAACTAGAGGGTCGCCAAGCTCGGATTGAAGAAAAGGTCGATGCACGCTTTTCTGAAATTTCGACATCCCTGAGGCAACTCTTGAATGCATCTGGCATCCATCAGCGTGAGAGCACTGGGGATACTCCCGCCCCCAAACACCCAAGGCATGATGCCTCCCTCTGACGCCAGTGGGCGGCGTTCGATGGTGCACCCTCTGGATTTCTTGACAGCTGCCTCATGGCACTTCTCGTGGTTTTTCGTTGTCTTGCCTCATTGGCTTCTGTTGCTTTTGCGTGCTGTCTGCCCCCAGAGGGCCTCTCCAGTCGTTCACTGCCCCCTTTTTGGGGTGCAATGCTCCTGCATTGTCGTTTTCTCATTTGCTTCAATAGCTTCCTATGGGGGACCAACCTCCTGTTTTCTTCGAATGTTCAATGCGTGTTTTTGCCAGTGAAATGTTCGATTCGCTGCTTTGGATTTTCCATTGCGGCTCCCACATTGGACTTAGCTCATCTGGCATGCCTGCTCTCACCACTGAGGAGCCTTTGGTGTGTTTTTCTTGTGGCAACTTTTCGTGGTTTTGCCAGTCCATCCAGTGATTGTAGCAGCTCATTGTCCTTTTGCCAATTTGTACCGCAACACAGACCTCACTATAGCGAGAAAAAGCCTGTGCGCCACTCAGTCACCGTTTTTCAGATTCGGGTCATTCTTTGACTTTGACCAAACCATCGGTTTTCCGGGGGAAGGACCAGAAAGCAATAGTCGCCCTCTCTGGAGCCTCTGCACTGCCAACATTGGCAGTCTTAAAACATCACATGTTTGGAAAAGTAATGAAGATTCGCTTTGGTGTCTTCAAGAAACACAGATAGGTAAGAATAACGTCCGTGCGTCGTCTAGAGCGGTTGAGGAGGTTGGGAAGTCATTATTTCATGGGCAATTGATGTCTGGAATCTTGCGCACTGACGGTGTTCACACCACCATGCATGGAGGCACGGCCATTTTGGCCCCAAACACTCACACACGAGCCTTTCTTCCTGAAGATGACATTTCGGGCAAGTATGCCAAGGTTTTTGCAACCAAACGGGTCAACGCCGTCTGGACGCAGGTTTCTCCCACCGTTCGAGCTTTGGTGTTCTCGATCTATGCTAAGTCGGGTGCATCCATATGTCATGATACTTTTCAGGAAAATGACCTCCTCCTTTCAGATGTGTTTGAGATTGTTGCCCAGTTTGGGGACATCCCTATCATTCTTGCAGGTGACATGCAAGCCGATCCTTCCTCATATCCGTCCATTGCGGCGGCCATTCACTTCCATAAGTGGTATGACCCC